GTTCAGTTGTTTGGTCATCCCTCACTAACCCCCCTGTCAGCCTGGTCATAGGCAGCCATCTTGTGAAGGTGTGAGGGTTAATTTTCATATTACCTCTTTATTATATAGGATGAGATTTAACAAATGTTAACCAGCCAGCATTCTCAGTATCCCATCTTCAAGCCCAGCTTCCCAGAGAAAAAGGAATCTCTGACTCAGCATCTCTGGTAGATGGTCTCTCAGCCCTGTCTTAACACTTCTAGCCCAAGCAGTATGTTCTCCTTTAGTTTTAAAAAAAAGTTCTTTTTACTGAGTCAATTCTGTCTATTTCTGCTATTGGTCAAGTTCAACAAACTGTCAAATATTTGAAGAAAAATACATCAAAAAGTTTCCTAAAAAAACAAAGACTACATGAAATCAGTCTAATCCTTCTTCTACATGGATATTCCTAGACTATTTGGAGATATACATTGGTTCTTTACATTTCCTCTCCTCCAATCTGAACATCAGCACCATAAACACCACCACCATCGTCACCATGGCTATTTAGTTCCTGCTATGTTCAGGGAACTTTATTTATATCAATCCTCTACACTATCTCTTCAAGGCCGGAATTATCATTAGTTTAGAGATGAAAATATTGGGCTCAGAGAACATTTGTGGGACTTGATCATGGCTACAGAACTGAATCAGGAAAAAGCAGAATTTGAGCTCAGATCTTCCTGTCTCCAAAGCTCATTCTCTCTGGTCCATCTCATTACTTTTAACTGTTCTACCTACTAGTGATACACTTAATTATTTTATGCCTTATCCTCCACTAGGAATTCACAGCTTTCTTATCTTTAAAATGGGTATAATCAAATTATCAGCCTCAGAGTATTAAAGGAGGATTTCATAAAGTAATATGAAATGCTCACATGGAGGAGGGTATAGGAGGGATAAATGGTGATGGACAGATACTTAACTAGTGTTGGTGAGCACACAATACAGTGTACAGGTGATATGTTGTAGAATTATGCACCTGAAATCTGTATAATTTTGTTAACCAGTCTCATCCCAATACATTCAATTAAAAAAATGCTCAGCACAGTATCTGCCATATGGTTAGAGTTTTTTTAAATGAAGGATAGAATGATGAAAATAATTATCATTATTACCTAGTGCAATTCCTGAATCATCAAATTACGTGTTATCTACTTATACTTGTCCTCTCTCCAATACAATACTTGACAACAAGTAGACTTCCATTAAGAACTGTCTGATTCAGTTCTTATAGAACTCTCTAGAATAGGACTTGCCATTGAATCAGTAATTTTGCTATTTATATTGACATTAAAAATAAAATATGACCAATTGAAAAGAGAAAAAAAAGAAAGCAAGCACAAAGTGAGACTTTGCAGGTGGGACAAAATCTCTCTTGGAATCGCAAGAGGGACAGTTCTGAATTCTTACATGTCTACTGATCTGTCTGCCTGTAGCCTCCAGGTGCACAGGTTATACTAAGATGAAATAGGCTTCTTTGTCATTTGCTGTTCCAAAAATGGACTGCTCCAGGCCTGCTTGGGTGCTCCTCTGTCTCTTATTAATTTCTCATCTGACAGTGAAGCTGAATGGGGTCTCATCCCATTCACTGCATGGTGTTGGGGAACAGACTAGCTTCTCCATGTTTTTGTTCTTTGGAAAAAGCTATACTCACAGCAGGAGACCTGGGGGTGTTATACTAACAAGTGCAAAGTAGTTTTTTACCTGCCTTTGGAGTCTGAATCCTTCCTGGATATACTGTAGTAGGTAAACACATTAGTTTGAAAGAATATCACTTCAACATCACCTACCAAATCAATGACTGGAAGGATGGATTTTTGTTTCTTATTTCTATCCTGAGCAAACATAAAAGGCAAAGAAGCAAAGGACCCTGGTGACTGAGTTGGAGAAATAGAGGAGGAAAAACATGTGGAAAGAGAAGTAAAAGGCTGAAAGTGCTTTTGCTGAGTTCAAGTTGTGTTGCAGGCACTGTGTGAGGGCCTGGACATGATTTCATCCTTACAAGAACTACAGTAACATTTACTATTATTTTCTCCAGTTTACAGGTCAGCAAGCTTATGGATTGAGTTGTGTCCCCTAAGAAGATATGCTGAAGTCCTAACCCTCTGCACCTGTGAAGGTGACCTTATTTGGAAATAGGGTCTTTGCAGATGCAATCAAGTTAAGATGTGGTCATTAGGGTGAGGCCTTGATTCAACATGACTATTATCCTTTTATTAAAAAAAAAGACACAGGCACACAGGAAGAATGTCATGTGATGATGGAGGCAGAGACTGGAGTGATATATCTACTAGCCAAGGTATACCAAGGATTACAGTAACCACCAGCAGCGAAGAGAAAGACATGGAATGGTTTCTCCCCTAGAACTTCCAGAAAATGTCAATTGTGCTAATACCTGGCCTCCAGATTGTGAGAAAATGATTGTATTTTAAGCCCTCCAGTTTGTGGTTCTTTGTTGCAGCAGTTCTAGGAAACTAATATACCCAGAATAGTTCCAATTTACACTTGTTGCCCCAGAGTAATTATTAACAGCAGCCCTTTCACTCAAAACAAAACAACAACAAAAAGTGTTCAGATTCAGGGTATAGAAAAGAGAAAAAATCAGGAGGTGGAAAGGTATGGAATGAGAGGATGCAGGAAGTTGATTTCTTGAGTTCTACTATGTGGCAAAATCTGTGCCAGAGTTCAATGGCTCTTAACAAGATTCATATTTCCTGGGCTCAAGTAGCAAAGAGGATGCTGGCCATGGTAGGTTCCAGGACACACACCGCCTAACCTACAACCCTGTCTCCAGGAGGGAGAATCAGTGTAAATGCCTCCAGAGTCCTTGAAGTTAGTGAAAATGAGAGATGGGCCAAGTGGGGATACCCTGTGAGCATATCTCATCAACAGGGATCAGCCACTTCTCAGATTTTTGTCTATTATTATTATGGGGGAAAGTGGGCCCAGTGTAGACAGATCTTTCTGAATTTTCAGAAATGGAAATAATGTTTTTTTAAAAAATATCTGTAAAGACTCCTGATTTTAAAATGTTGGTAACTCATTCAATTTTTTAAAAAAAATACAGTGTGGGTTACACAAAATATACCTGCTCTCTGAATCAACACAGGCCACCAGTTTGCGTCGTTGGCCTATGGACAGTCCTATAAATGGCACATTGTCATTTACCTCCTTTCATACCATCTTCATCTCAGGACATAATTTTATACATATTCAGCTTGGAACCACGGGATGTACTCACTAGTCTGTGCGTGAGCAGATTTTAGAGCTATAGAAGTCTCATCTACTTTCAACACTTTAGGAAGACTGAGCTTTACTTTTTTTTTTTATTGGTTTCCCCACACCATCATGAAGCCAAATATTGGAAATGGGAGACAAATTTATCAGGCTTTCCAAAATGCTGAGAAACATCGGGAATCTTTCAAAACAATAGCTCTGGGACTCTTAACCCCAAAGGAAAATCTACAACACAAAAACCAAAGTTATTTGATTTTCCCTTATTCTGTTCCTCAAATATCAAGCACAGGATGGACGGCCTGATAACACTTTACACACCTTTATACCCTAGAAGTTTTAGATTGAAAGAGAACTTATCACCCTCATCACCATTTCTGTTTAAATACCTCCAAGGGCCTCTCACTACCTTTTCATCAGGAATTTCACTGCTTATGAGAACAGCAAATAAGTAATTTTGTATTTACAAATATAAAAGGCTCTATTTAGAAAGATGATAGATAGATAGATGGTAGATAGATAGATAGATAGATAGATAGATAGACAGATAGATATATTATCTATAGGAATAACTACCAAAACTACCTTATCTGATATTGAGAGAGTGATGACTGTGGTTATTTATTTAGTTATTTGGTCAATAATTTTTGAGCTTATGCCATATACTAGGTACCACTCCAATGACAAAATGCTACTCACACCAACAGACTTGATCATTTTGAGACTAAATTGATCAGCTGATTTATAATGAAATGGACTTCAACTCAGAAACGTAGAGCCTTCCCAGTTTCATAGACCCCTCAATGATTTCAGGCTTCCTGTATGGTACCATGACCAGGCTGCCTGAATTGACTAGAACCACCAGTGGTTCTGGCTTTAAACAGAGACCTATGAAAATGGGATGGTCGTTTGCAATCCCCAATGGCTTCCAGTCTTTTTTTTTTTTTTTCACCAAATGTATCCACCAAGATAGTGACAGAACTTGAGCCAAAATGCATTGCTCATGATTTAAAGTCTAATGCTCTTTGTTAGATTACACAGCATTTAAGTCTAATTCAGTATTTCCCAGTCCTGGCTACACATTATCCAGTATCTAGCATGTCCTGAACAATACAGATATGAGGTCAAGGACTCTATAGTATCTGTACTTTGTATACCCCTCAAAGATTATAATGTGCAATGGGGGAGCCACTGGTCGAATTCACTCGTCAGAGATTTTGGTACTATTTCTTAAAAGCTTCATTGAATCCAAACAATCATGAACATGCTAGAGCCTCAGAGTATTACTGCTCTGTAGGCAGCCTTCACTTCAGACACCAGTATTACTTACACCTTACAACTTATATATTCCTTTACATTTTATTTGCTTTCACACTAGTTACCCTACTTGAGCTTGAGAAAGATACTTCAGCTTTTTCATTTAACTGAGATGAAAACTGAGGTCAGAGAGTATGCGTTTTGTCCACATGACTAGTCAAGCATTAGAGAAGCCAGGGTTGGACCCAGGTTTTAGATTGTTAAGGGTTTTAATTTTTCTACTACATAGTAGTTAAATGTGGCTACTGTGACCTGAGATTGATGAAGAAGGATGCAACTATCCATAATGACAGCTAACAGAGGGGGCACTAACTACCGGCCAGACACTCCCCTACTGTCCATGCCTTAGCCCGTAGTAAATGCTATCAGGATTTCTTCTAATGTACAGAAGAAGAAAGGGCTCGTTGAGTATTCTGCCCATGGCCCAATGACTGACATTAGCTCCCATGAAGCCCATATACTTATCATTCCTCCAGGCTAACTTTCCTTGTGTTCACTCACTCAGGTAAGGGCTCAACTTTTCCCAACTACTGAGGCACTTATTTTCTGGTGTTTTATTTTAAAAAAAATCTTTTCTATAGTCAAGTTTTGCATGTTTTTTTAATGTGCAGGCAACTCTGCCTGTTATGTTGCAGTGCAGGTCTTCCATTCATTGCTAATTTCATTTGAAATAATATTGTGGCAGATGGAAGATTGCAAGGTACAATAAAATAAACCTCGGAGCTAAATGCATTTCACAGACGCAATTTATCTTCCTCTTGAGCTGCAAAATAGCTCATGATAAATCCTGACAGAGGCTGATTTGTTCATTTCTATTCATTAGAAAAACACAGCGATGGTACCTCTTGCACATTCAGCCCCTCTGAGATCCCAGCAAGCATGAGGCTGCTCCCCTTGGAACTCACTCCTGGCAGCTGTCCCTCAATATATAGTTCTACCTCTCCTACTCTATAGGGTTTCTAACTCCAATATGTTTGTGTTATAAAAAGACTAGAGACAATTCTCTTAGGAGAAGAAATTAAACCCAAAGACAATTAATTCCCCAAAGTTCAATTTGCCCTGTCCTGTAAGCACAAATACGGGATAAAGCTAATTGACTTCATCTCCTGCTCAGCTACCATCAAGCATAATCCTTAACTAGGTCTTCATGATAAGAACTCCAATGATACACTCTTCAAAGGATCTGTAGACCACTTAATGGAGTTTGATGGAATCCACCACCTCACAGTCACCGTTTCTTCTGACTGTGGAGTGAGAGTCATTTTTAAGCTAATGGGTTTGAGTCCATGGGAGGAGTCTGGGATGTATCAAGCCCTAAGCAGTGGTGAGCTTAGAGGCCAAGGGCATAAGCTTTGAGCCCTTGGGTCAAATCTATGTTTTATCCCTTCCTGGATACGTTACCTATGCCAAGGCATGCTATTTGCCTCAGGTTCCCCATTCATAAAATGGCAATAATGTTAATACCTACCACACAGGACTGAGATGCAGATTGAATTAATAAACAAGGGCTTTTAGCAATACCTGGCACATAGGAAGTACTCAGCGAGCCTTGGCTATTGTTATTACTGTTATTGTTGTTATTGAAAATGTTTCTTATCTTTCCCTCTATAGCTCCTGAAAGGTTTCTTTCAGCAATTAGGACCCATGTGGAAAATAATATAATTCCCATCTATTTTGTTTGCTCATTCCTTCATTCAAAAATGCCTACACTGTACCTTGCTCTGTATTTGGCACTGGGGATACAACAGAATAAGGCAAATAAGGCCCGACCCTCATGGAGAAGATGGCAAAAATAGGTCACAATTCAGAGGTTACAAATAGTAGAGAGTGATACCAAGAGGAAAATAAGGGGCTGAGACAGAGAAATGGGAATAGAGACCTGTGAAGGTAACATTTAATCTAAAACTGACCCAAAGGCTGAAAAGGACTTTGTCATGCAGGAGTGGGGAGAAAGCATCAGCCTGACAAGGACTGAGATGTGTTCCCAGGACAGTTAGCCCCGGTGGTGAATAGAATGAGCAGGAGGGAA